CCATCTCTGACAAAGCAAAACAAAAAAGGAGGATATAAATAAAAGGCCATTTTGTGTGTGTGTGTGTGTGTGTGTGTGTGTGTGTGTATATATGGATAGATATATAGCTACTTTCTCTTAGTTCAATGAGAAGAATGATTTGCACTAATATTATTTAGACAAGATATGTCTGTATCTTGTCCTGTGAATAACTATTATGAAGACAATATACAATGTATCAATTATTGTAACTGTCCTACTAACCTGTCTTGAAACTGTTTCATTGCCATTTTTCTCATTAAAATGAATAAAAACTTTTAAAAAAATTAAAAAAAATAAAAATTAAAAAAAAAAAAATGAGACCAGCCAGCGTGTAGGCCCAGTGAGAGTGAGCGGGACTACCCACCCTCTCGCCAAAGCCTCATTCCAGCCAGCACCCAGGCCAGGCATGTGTGTGGAACTTCCTCCATCAGACAGGCCCAGTGTAGAACCCTGCAGCAGAACTCCCTGCAGAGAGGCTAGAGGCAAGACCCACCCAGCTGATCCAGGAGCAGGACATCTTGCCAGAGTGGCACAGCGGGTTCACTTCCAAGGGCTGCAGCAGGAAGAAGTGGAGCCCAGCAGCCAGACCCAAGCCATACCTACGTGGATGAATTTGAACTTGGTAGATCCAGACCTGGTGCTAAGGTAATAACTCAACCAAAGCTTTACATCAAAGGTCAGAAGACAGTGCTATACAAAAATGACAAAGAGAAGAAACAATGCATTCTCAGGCTCTGAGCCCACCCAGATCAAATGCAGGAAACAATAGCATAGAAGAAATTGGAAAGCACACACCTGAAATCTCTGAAATAATAGCGTTGGAGGTAAAGAAACAACTGCAGAAAGGTATAGAGGAAATCAGATCAGAAATAATTTCTGAAGTAAAAGAAGAAATAACTATAATCAAAAAAGTACTAAGTACTTCTAAAGAAGACACTGATAAAAAATAGAGGAGCGTATAAAAATGATGGAATCCTTGAATGAGCAACATAGGAAAGAAATAGAATGCATGAAGCAGATCCAAAGTGATATACAGGAAATTAAAACCAGCTGGCAAAACTATTTGAATGAAAGTGAAAATAGACTTTCAGACCTTGAAGACACCATTGCAGCTAGTGAAAAGGTAAGAAAAGATCTCTTAAAAACAACCAGGATGCAGGAAAAAATAATTCAACATCTGCAAGATAATGCAAAGATGAACAACGTGAGACTAATAGGCATCAATGAGAAAGGAGTCAATACAAATGATATAAAAAAATATGGGCAGAAGTGATAACAGAAAACTTCTCCAATATGGGGAGACAATCTGCCATTCAGGTAACCGAAGCATATAGAACTCCAAATGGCATCAAGCCAATTAAAACCACACCTAGACATATAATAATCAAGATCCCAGAAATTCAGCACAGGAACAATATACTAAAAGCTGCTAGAGAAAAGAAAGAGATCACATTTAAAGGAAAACCCATCAGCATAACGGCAGATTTCTCCTCACAAACCATCAAGTCAAAAACAGCATGGAGCAAAGCACAAGTCTCGCAAGAAAACAAATTCCAACCCAGACTGCTATAGCCTGCAAAATTCTCTTTCAAGTTTAATGGAGAAGTGAAATACTTCCATGACAAAGAACAACTAAAGAATTTCATGACGACAAAGCCAACCCTACACAGACTACTAAAAGATATGCTAGAGAGGGATTAAAATGACCACAGTTCAATGAATGAGAATGGAAAGAACCCATCAAATAGGGCAAACAAATACAGGAGGAAAAAGAGACATACAACAATAGTCTTTCAATTATTCTTTTGTATATAGCAGCAAAGTATTTCCATCAGCATACTCTACAAATGCACTTCTCCTGCACCCTATGGGTCATGATTCTGTCCAGGTCTACAGGGTGGATATCAAGCAAATAGCAGTAGCTCAGTCCCACAAGTGACACAAGTAAGCATCATGTACACTGTCCACATCCACCACACACTAGAACTTTTTGCGATATCATATCCCCAAACTGTTAGAAGTGCTGGTCATATATTTGCCATTTCAGCATTTTTGTTATGTTTTACTCTTAGTAATTCTTAATTATATGGCAAGTGCAAGGTCCTGAGTTCAATCCCCGGCACCAAAAAATAATTCTTACCTATTGTAAAAACTTTTTCTTAGTTGATATTTTTATATATAGTACCCTATTCAAATACTGTGTGAGTATGCTGAATTGATCACAGATTCGTACATATGATGCACTACATTCTGGCCTCTTAGCTGGACTCACAATTTTATTTTATTTTTTGAATATTGTTTTGAAATATTTAATTTAATTTTTAATTAATTTTCTGAATATTGTTTAATTTTAATTTTTGTTTTATGACTTATATTGTATCTTTGACTTATAATCTACTTATAAGCATGATATTTTCTCCTGGTATTAGAAACTTTAAAAAGTATTTTTCCATTTTCCATTAACTTTACATTAGTTCTTCTTTGTCTTTTACACACACACACACACACACACACACACACACACACACGAAAAAATATGCATATAACCTGACATAAGATTGATACTGTTTTGGGCTGGTGAGATGGCTCAGTGGTCTAAAGCACCTACTTAGAACAAGCTTAGCAAAGCCAAAGGGACAGCGGTTCATCCCCCAGCACCACATGCCAGCCAGCCCCGCCCCCTGGTGGACTGAGCTGGCCACACACACACACACACACACACACGAATAAATAAAATTTTTTTTAAAAAAAGATTGATACTGTTTTGTGGAAATCTTCAATGATCTTTTAAATGGGTTCTTCTAACATAATTATATTTTATATAATCCTGCAAAACTACCACTTTGAGAGCTCTTTATTCTTTATCCAGGACCACACAGCAATTTCTCTTGCCTTCTGGATTATGGTCTTTGTTATTTTCTATATTCTATGTCTGGAGTTATTATAATATTTTGAGTTTGTAATAACTGGAAAATATTTTACTTTTTAGTTTTCAAAGGTATGTTTGCCAAGTATAAAATTCAATGAGGACAGATTTTTTTTTTCTTTTTCAGTCCTTTGAATAAATAAGTCTAAGTTTCTTACCACTTGCTCTTTTTTTTTTTCTAATGTGAAATAAGATGCCATTTAATTTTGTTCCTCCATAGCTAATATTTTTTCTATGTATATGCTTTAATGATTTTTTTTCTTCACAATTAGTTTTAGACAATTTCATTTTTGGGTATCTTGGTATGATTTTATTCATATTTCTTGTGCAAAAGTTTCATTTTTCTTGGAAATGTGATGCTATAATTGTAACTAAATTCAGAAATTTTTTTTTCTTTTATTAATTTTAATGAGAAAAAGATAAAATAGCAATGAAATAGTTTCAAAACAGGTTAGTATGACAGTTACAATAATTAATACATTGCG